TCCAATATACACTAAAATCAGTCGGCACCCAAAATACGCTGAAATCAGTAGGCACCCAATACACACTGGAAATCAGTAGACACCCAATACACACTGGAAATCAGTAGGCACCCAATACACACTGGAAATCAGTAGGCACCCAATACACACTGGAAATCAGTAGGCACCCAATATAAGCTAAAATCAGTAGACACCTAGTATACACTGAAATAAGTCGGCACCCAATATACACTGAAATAAGTAGGCACCCAATATACACTGAAATAAGTAGGCACCCAAAATACACTGAAATAAGTAGGCACCCAATACACACTGGAAATCAGTAGGCACCCAATACACACTGGAAATCAGTAGGCACCCAATACACACTGGAAATCAGTAGGCACCCAATACACACTGGAAATCAGTAGGCACCCAATACACACTGGAAATCAGTAGGCACCCAATATACACTGGAAATCAGTAGGCACCCAATATAACACTAAAATCAGTAGGCACCCAATATAACACTAAAATCAGTAGGCATCCAATATTGCTCCTCTCACCAATTAACAGGAGACTAGTGTACGTTTATATGGTTGGGCGTTAAACCGACAACAACCTCAAGAAAATATTTAACAGAAATACAATCATAGTCAGCTATAGCTGTATGAACAACATCAAAGATACCATCAACAAGAAAAGCAAACACCGACTCGCGACCAAAAATAACACTACCACTGACGAAATGAAAGCCAACAAGTTATGCAATTGCCAGAAAAAAAAAACATGTCCACTAGACGGGAAGTGTTTGCAGTCTGGCGTCGTATACCAAGCAGAATTTACGCGTATAGACGAACACACCAGCGAAACATACGTCAGACTTACCAGTAATGAGTTCAAAACAAGATACAGAAACCACACTCATTTCACAATCAGGCCTCCAGAAATGCGACAAAACTAAGTAAACATACGTCTGGTCACTCAAAGAAAAAGATATTGAATATAACATAGTTGAACTCTGGTGACCTTGCCCTTTGTTATATAATATAATTCCCTTTATCATAGTTTGTTTCAATATAAATATGCATTGTCATAATTAATTTTGAATACAAGTTTTGGGGTTAAACCGACAGTGGGGAATCAGTCTACCGAATGTCCTTAAAAGATGTAAATATCTTACAAAACATTGGTGCCTTATTTGTTTAATTATTTTAAGGGACATAATTTCCAGCTTTATTCAAAGTAATTTAGATATTTTAGTATAAATACAAATGCCTCATCACAAAAAAAAAGTGCTGCATTTAGACGTGAATAGATTCATAAACCATGCAAGATAACAAAAAATCTTAGCTGGCTTTTGTCCAAGTATTTTGTACAGGTGTCTGTCAAAAATTAATTATTCACTGAGACAAATATGAACTGCCTCATTGTGTG